GTCGGGGAGAAAAGAAGAAGAGCAGGTCGTGGGCCTGATGAGGAAGAAAAGAAAGAAAGAAAAAAGAAAGAGAAAAAGCAGCTAATCCTTATCTCATTTCCTTTCTTTTAAGTCCCTCAACTTTGGAGTTTTTAGTTATTAGGTCCCAAAACAATATTTCTCCCAAAACAATATTTCTCCCAAAATAAGTCCCCTAACTTAATTGATAAAATTTCCAAAAATTTGGGATATTACAAATATCATGTAATCCTCTTCATTAGGCGTCTTTTATTTTGGTAGATTTTTAATCTTGCTTTTAATTTCTTTTATCAAGTTTGTATCATTAACAGTCCACTTCCATTCTCTATCTTTTTTTAATTTCTCTTCTAATGAATTCCTCTAATTCGCTAGATTTTTTATATATTTCTCTCCGTAAGTTAGGCATCCTAGCATTCTCTATAACTGCTTTTTATCTTCTATTCTATTGAGGAATTGATGAATCTTTTCTAATATATGAGGTTGGAGTTCTACTTTTCCTTGTTCTAAGGTTAAGCCTAAGAATTCTATTTTGGACTTTTCTAACTCCATCTTCTTTTTTGATAGAATTATTCCATGATTTTTGAGCTTTTCTACTACCATCATTAAATGCCTTCTATGATCATTCTTGGATTTACTAAATACTAATATATCATCTATGTAAACCACTCAAAAGTCTCTAAATTCTCTAAAGATATTGTCCATCCTTCTTTGGAATATTTGTGGGGCATTGCATAACCCAAATGGCATTACTCTCCACTCATAATGTCCTTGGGGTGCACTAAAAGCTGTTAAAGGAATTGATTCTTCTACCATCTTTATTTGGCAATATCCTGACTTACAATCAAACTTGCTAAATATATTAACTCCTTGAATATTATTCAATAGTACTTCTTTGCTAGGTAGAAAATATCCATCAAACTTAGTAGCTTGGTTTAAGGCTTTATAATTTATTACCATCCTAGCTTATCCTCTTCTTATTTCTACATGATTTCTAACCATAAAGGCAGGTGAACTATGGGGCGAAGTAAAAAGTTGTATTAAACCTTTCTTTAAAAGTTCATCTATCTACTACTTGAATTCCTTAACATCATCTGGTCAATATGTCATTGGTTTCATCCTAATAATCTTTTTTGGATCTACTAATTCTATTTTTCCATTGTTTTATCTTTCTCCCATAGCTTTAAAGGATCTTCATTGAAATTTTCTTTAATCTTTCCTAATATTTCTTCTAAACTTAGTGTCTTATCTTTACTAGCTTTAAGGTTTTTTTTGCAGATAATGCTCATTAATTTATGCTTCCAACTTACATCCTCTTCTTCCTTATCATTAACTATTCTTGTATCACCATGATTTATAAGTGCATACTCTGACATGTTCTTCATAGGTAAAGGTATTATATCCTTTGGGTGATCTAATAATTTTTGTGGTTGAAAGCCTAAAGTACATTTCTGTCTGACTTCTCCTTATAACTTTATAGTAACAGTTGGTGTCCCTAATTGGATATAAGTTACATGTTGCACAAATGGAAGGCACATCCTTTGTTTCAAAAAATTATTTCCTAATACTATATCTCCATCTAATTTTGGCAATTGCCATATTTGTTCTATGACAAATACTTGTTCTTCTAAGTATACTAGAACATTTCTAGCTAAATAATTAAGTTCTACCATCTATCTATTTGCTGTTACTAGCCTTTTTGTAGGAACTTTGACCCAATGATCTTCTGGAAGGACATTTGGCTTAGCTAATGTATAGGCAGCTCCTGTATCTACTAACGCATCTATAGGATATGGGTGATACCCATTAGGTTCAAACTTAAGTTTTATATATGCACTATTCTTAAAAGTCTTGATTGAATTTATAGGTTCTTTCATCCTTTTTGTTCCTTCACCCTAGCATTCATAAATGGATTTTACTTGTGTTTGTTGTTGCTTTGTTAAATGCTGCTCCATTAACCAAGCTTGATAGTGAGGATTTCTTTTTCCTAACCACTCTAGCATCCAATCATATTCTTGTACCATAGATGTCCCTTCTCTTATAAGTAGCTTAACTTTCCTATATCCTAATATTTTATTATCCTTTCTCTCTTCTTCTAGGTTTATTACTATCACTCGTCCATCTTTTGTAGTAGCTAATTCTAGTTCTCTATTTGGTCTTGAAATTGAGGCTCTAGGTTTGTCTTCTAATAACCATTTGGTTGGGATAGTGAGATCTTTCAATGCTAATGTTCTAGGCACTAGTCTTTGTGCATGAGGCGCCTTACTTTCCCATAAAATGGCATCCATCGGCTCTCTTCTAAACTTTGGATCTGTAGTGTTCACTAGTCTATATATTATTCTATAATGTAGTGATAAGTTATGGGTACCTTTTAGCATATTAATATTTTTGGTTTGGATTTTTATAGTTAGACTCTTATGTAGGTTTCTATCTCCTAAACTTACATGATAGTTTGGATAAACATCAAACATGATAGGTCTATTATATAAATTAGAATGTATGCCTCCTATTAATGCATCTTTTAGGTCCAGATATCTACAATCTAATACGCATGCCAATATTGGAGTATCAATTCCTCTTCTAAACAAAGGACATAACCCTATTTGGATTACTCTCATATGGGTAAAGTTGTAATTATTTCTATACTTCTCTATCTTTTTAGGATCTAATAACAGAATCATTACACTTCCTTCCTTAGTTTGCTCTACCCTTGTTACTCCCTCAAAACTATTTATATTGAGGCTCCATTTACTTCCCTTGTATGCCTCTTTTTTGTCTTTTTCAAGTAACTTCCATGTAATAGCTTCCCTATCAATTTCTTCTTCAATTTCCATGCTTTCATAAGATTCATATAGGGTTCCTAATGAGGTAGTTTCTGAGGTCATCCCTATAGAGGTCGTTGATGTTAATGCTTCTTTCATCATTCATATGACTTCCTCTTCGAACTCCTCTTTAGACTCATTACTAGATTCATTCCATTCATAAATACTTTCACTATTTGATATTTCACTTCCTAACTCACTTCCAGATATTATTTCTACTTCTAAATCCAACTCTTCAAATGCTCTTATTATCTTTATACTCTTTTTTGGATTTTTCTTTGGGAAGTTAGGTGCTATATGTACTTTTTCCTTGCATATCCAACATGTGCACTCTAACTTTGGTTTTTCCAATTAGCATGGTGGATTTTTCTTTTAATTTTATAAATTTTTAAATTTTTTCTTCTTGACGAATTTTCCTTTTTTAAAATTCCTTTTATTTCTTTTACATTTATCTACTTTTTTAAAAATATTTTTTTAATTTCTTTTTCTTCTTTTTAATTTCACAACCGTACTACCACGGCATGTCTATTAGATATCTACAACTATTCTTATCCATACTATCCTCTAGTCTCTTCTTAGAATCTCTTATTACTAAGGTGTTAAGGTGCAATATTCTCTAAGTATATCTTTAACAAATTGTGCTCTTAACCCTAGTGTGTCTACTCTCTCATCATCCTCTTTTAAATATTTTTCATATCTCTCCATTATCAATTTGTTCCTTGGGTCTGGTAACTTCTAAAAGAACTAATCTATCCAAAAGGGTGTTTCTAAATTTTTTAAATTATAGTAATACTTTTGAAATTCAAAATAATATTCATCAAATCTACCCATCTTTCATATTCTTAGCTTTGTTAATCTTTCTCTTATGCTTTTTTCAAATAATCCTTTGGTATCTTGTTCTCCACAAAACTCTTTCTTTAACTCTCTAGCCATCTAGTAAGCTAATTCTAGATTTTCTCTTGTCCTAGCATAAAAGTTTCGTGCATTTTTATATCTTTCCCAGAAATTCTTTTTCTTTCTTTAAATAGTCCTTATATGCTTTGGCATATTGATTCATTACTTCATCATCATTTATTTCCCCTTTTTCTGCTTTTTTACTTGAAGGTCCATCTCCCTCAAAAGGGTTTCCTTCTTCCCTTTTTTGTCATTTTTATGTTTTCCATAGGGAATTCTAACTCTTGCTTATGTTCCCAATTTCTTCAACATTTTCAACCTTCTCCCAATTCTCAAGGATTTCTTCTTTAGTCATACTTTCTCCTATTGGTTTTAGATGCTCATGTGGGTTTAACTTAAACTTTCTCTAGTCAAACATCCACATCTCATGTTTTTTTATCTTCTTGGACCTCTTTTTCTATCATATTTTTAAGATTTTCTTCTAAAGATTTTAGTAATATCTTACTTTCTTCATTTAAATCTAATTTCCCAATTTCAATAAACATGTCTAATAATTTCTCTAATTTTTCTACTTTCGTAGATACATAATATAATAAATTTACGACAAAGTTTAATACTTCTTTGACATTCTTAGAACTACTATGATTACTATGCTTAAATTATTTAGATTCAAGATCTAATTGACAACAATTAATATTTGTATCCCAAAGCATCATTTTGGAGTTTTTTACTTTAAGGACTCAGTTGTAGATATACCTTTTATGTTCAACCGATATTTAACAATATTTAAGGGAAGGGTTATTTCCTTAAAGTTTTTGCAGTTGAGGGGCTAAAAATGTCAATACATAAACCAGCGGCTAAAACATACATTGAGGTAAAGGGCTAATAGTAGCTTTTGGCCAAAATCCTTGTGAAGCTCGCTAGGATTAGAGGAAATTACTATCCTTATCTCAAATCCCTCTACTTTGAGGAGAGAATGACTATCGCATTATACGGTAACGATAGCTTAACCCAGTTCCTAATCATTAATTTAAAAACCTTGCGGTCAGTGAATCATGTGCTTAAAAAAATAAAATATGGTATGTAAGTGCATTTAGGATTCTATTGAGGTAGAACTTCTCATGTAGCCTAGTGAATACGTCACACTACTGCATGAATAGTAAGTGGAATTCATCTAATACCTACTTCTACTTCTACTCGTATGTAAACAGATACTAAGTCATTAACTTAACATTTTTGAATAAAAGAAAAAAAAAATCTATTGAGGCAAATCCTCAAACGGAAAACGAGGGCAAAATAGGAAATTAAAAACAGTAGCATGGTACGAAAAAGCACCGAAAGAATTCCAACAGACGGTCTCCCCCAGTGAGGACTGCCGGCAAATGCGAGCATGAGGGAAGGTTGCCGAATCGCTATCCTTCTCGCGGTGTTTCTTCTCATCGGAGCTCCAGCGGTGGACGGAGGAGACTTCAAAGGAGACTACTCTAAGCTATCGGGGATCATAATACCGGGATTCGCATCCACTCAGCTCAGAGCATGGTCCATTCTCGACTGCCCGTACTCTCCTCTTGATTTCAATCCGCTTGACTTGGTCTGGCTTGACACTACCAAAGTAATAACGTCTTTCTCGTTTCTCCTCTGCTACTTTCTTTATTGAATCTGCTTTTTCGTGTGGTAACTGCCTTTTGCTTTGTTTTGACGCTCGTTATGGTCTGTATGCATTCGAGTATATTGGAATATGTTGCTCTTTCCTCTGTAGAATCTTGAGAACTCTTGGGAACTCCATTTGTATAAGATTTATAATATTCGTAAAAGGCTAGTAACAGGAAGAGATAGAAAGTAACTACCAAAAAGAAGAAAGTGAAAGTTTTTTCTTTTTGTGTTAAGAGTTGACTGGACAATGTAATTAATTTAGGGTTCATGGGGTCCCTTTATTTTGGTGCTCTTTTTAGCTTCAATGAGAAAGCCTTTGAATCTTTTTCTTTGATATTGGGAAGGCTTGCAAACTTGTAGTCTTGTTCCTCCTTTGTTTGGGAATCCCTAATGTAGCATTGCATACGTTTCTATTAAATTTTAGGGTTCATAAGAAACAGTTTTTTAAACCACATTCATAGAATTTATTCTCCCATGTCCCAAGAGAGAATCCAGGAATGAGCTCCTGAAAACTTTAGAAGAGGCATGATTAATCTGGGATTGGTTACAAGTTCCTTTTACTCCTTCCTCTCCTTTTTGCAATCCATGTTATGTGGATACTTTTGATTCCAGGCTCATATATGCTGCAAAGCTGATTGTTTAACGTTTTTCTCAAAATGTATATGTACATGCCTCAGTTGGTAGTGCTTGACTTTATTGAAGATTCGGCAGAAATGCACACAACAAACTTATAATTGTCATATCCATTTGCTCTGCAGCTCCTTTCAGCTGTAAATTGTTGGCTTAAGTGCATTTTACTCGATCCTTATAACCAAACAGATCACCCTGAATGCAAGTCACGGCCTGATAGTGGTCTTTCTGCGATAACAGAACTAGATCCAGGTTATATTACAGGTATTCTTTTCTTCCTTGCCATTTGCAGCTCTGTCCTTCTCTCTGAAAAATAGCATAACAATGTCAGGATTCTTTTGATGAATTGCCTTAAACTAAAATTATTTGGTTGAAGGTCCACTTTCTTCGGTATGGAAAGAATGGGTTAAGTGGTGCATTGAGTTTGGTATAGAAGCTAATGCAATCATTGCTGTTCCATTTGATTGGAGATTGCCACCATCAATGCTTGAGGAGCGAGATCTTTATTTTCACAAGTTAAAGTATGTATTTCTACATATCTTGACCACATTTTCTTACCAGTTGGGATTCACATACTTAACTACAGTGCCTTTAGAAACATCTTTCAGTGCTTGTTGGATGTCTATTTCTTTACGAGACTCCACTTTTTATAGAGATTTTTTTCTAAAGCTCACAAAACAGCTAGCCATGATTGGTCTGGTCACTATATAATGTGTTAACAAAAGTAGAGTTCAAATCTAGAGTTTTCCATCCCCTTCTGCAGACTGTAATCATGCCTCTGAATTTGAATATCTGTAAATTACTTTCTGATCATTTTCATTTGTTGTTCTGAGTAATAGAAAGGTTGAATCACTACATGTCCTGTGCTATGACGTGCCTTATTTGGTTTTCATTCATTCTGTCCCAACTCTGAAGTTTGAAGCTTTAACTTTTCTCTAAAGGTTACTCTTCCAACCAACAAATGAAGGTTGAAGTTATTGTGTTTCTCCTCTAAAAGGGTATACAGATGGTGACTATTGAGGCAAATGTACCGCAAGTAATTGAAATTGACATTAGTATTTTTTTTTTTTTTTCTATTTACAACTATTCTTGTGATCATTAATTTTTCTGCACACTCAAACATGGGACTAAATTTGGAAGTACTTAGTTGACAATTTAAATTCATCATCTGCTTTTGGCGGCAGACCAAATGTATTGCAGTGGTACTTTATATGTATGTCTGATTGTGCGAATTTACTGAGTTAATGCAAGAAAAGAATTAGTGTTCTTTTTATTTATTGGTGTGTACGCTTTTGAAATTTTCTTGTTACCATTGCAGGCTGACATTTGAAACTGCTCTTAAACTTCGTGGTGGACCCTCTTTAGTTTTTGCCCATTCATTGGGGAATAATGTGTTCCGTTACTTTTTGGAGTGGTTAAAGCTAGAAATTGCACCAAAACATTATATCCAATGGTTGGATGAGCATATCCATGCCTATTTTGCTGTTGGTATGATCTTTTTGCATAAAATATCCGTTCGACTAAAATTTCAAGTTGCATGGGTTGGTCATGCCTGCCATTTCTTTCATCTCCTTTCATTGGCTTTGTTCCAGGAGCTCCTCTCCTTGGCGCAACTGAGACTGTCAAAGGAATACTTTCCGGGCAAACATTTGGTCTTCCTGTTTCTGAGGTTACCTTTTTATCTTCCCCCAATCTTCTTGGGGTTCTTTTGGATATTAATTTTTTTGGTTAAGCCTTTAATTACATATTATATGGGAAAACAGCTGACTGACTCTGCTGTGGCTTCTCTTCAATTAGTTGGTCTTGCGTCTTTTTAGCTTATATCTTCTCATAAGAAACTGTTACACATTACACAAAGCACACATGTATTCAGCTACTTAAACATGCATATGAATTCCTAGATGGATACAGAATTATTGATGTGTTTGTTTGGCCTTTAAATTGCTCTGTACTCTGGTAATCCTGCATCGCCAGCAACTACTGCCAACTATTATGAAGTGCAATAAACACAGGAAAATTGATATTTAGGGAAGAACCATGGAAGTGCTTAAGTCACAAACACATAGTACCATTGAAAGGTAATGCTGGGCAACCTGCTTAATGAAGATTTTAAGTTTAATATTCAAAGGCTTGTCTTGTTGTGACAAATCTGAAGTATTTCCTACACAATACAAACTATTAATGGATTGCCAATGATCATGAAAGAACAGCTACAACTAATGCCGTAAAGGGCATGGAATAAACAGTCATCACAGTGCATAAATGAGCTATGATAATAATCTGCATGGTATAAGATAGATGAATTGAAATCCTACTTCTTAAACCGAGTAAATTATACCAGCATGATGCATCTTACATGGGCTAGAGCTACTGACTTCCACAGATTTATTTGAAGCTAGGATCAAAGCTGTTGTTGGAGTTTATACATATTATTTTCTGTGAAAAGTTTGATCTATGAACCACAAGTTAATGTATCTTTATCATTTATTTGGCATCAGGGCACAGCTCGATTAATGTTCAATTCTTTTGGCTCTTCACTGTGGATGTTGCCATTTACAAAGTACTGCAGAGCAGAGAATGAATATTGGAAGCATTTATCTGGTGGTATTAGGAAGGGTCACCATACATATCAATGTGAGGAACAGGAATTTCAATCAAACTACTCTGGATGGCCAACAAATATAGTTAATATTGAAATTCCCTCTAACCGTGGTAAGACTAGTCTCTTTTTTGCCTTTTTGGTGGGAACATTTGGATTTCTTACTCTTATCCTCCTTCCCTGTCTTATACTGGCAGGATTTGAGGCTTATCCATCAATTTCAGAAATAGCTGAGAACAGCTTGTCCAACATGGAATGTGGACTCCCAAGACAATTATCATTTTCTGCCCGTGAAGTATCAGATGGGACTTTGTTCAAAGCAATAGAAGATTATGATTCAGATAGCAAGAGGCTCTTGTATCAGTTACATAAGTGGGTACCAAGGCACACTCTTTCTCCATTTCAAAGAATTATCATTATTTGCTTTAGATTTTATGTGGGATGCATCTATTAGTGTCACTATCAGGTTAATTGATTTAAAATGTGATTTTAAGCATCCAACCCAAAACCAATTAACAATAGGTGCCTACATTGGAAGTCTATAGGTTTCATTTTTAATTCACCATTGTGGGTTTTTCCACTTACACACCCTCTCATATGCAAGCCCATTGGGCTTGCCACATGAAATCGGAACCACAGCTTACCAAGCCATTTTCAACCTTACTATGGGTTGCACTCCAGGGCTTCTAACAGCCTCTCCTGGGTTGCAAACTTGCAGCAACTCTCTACAGCAGAGCACATGGGCTGGGTTCGCAACGACCTCCCTTGGGTCACACACTGACCAGGCTTGCGGCAACTAGGTGGAGTCCATCATAAAACCAATTGGCAATAGATGTAGTCCAGATTGTATTTATGTCCACAGGTTTCCCTTTTAATTCACCAATGTGGGATTTTCCCAATTAGAGTGATGTTTCTTAATTTCATCTTAGAAGCGATGTTGGATGTTTATGATTGAAGTTCACTAGCTATTTCGGAGCCTTAAGATTTTTCTCGTACATGTCCATAAATGACTACATGAGGCATGATCTCTTAAAGCTTTAGATTCAATTTCTCATATATGACATGAAATTCATAATCAAGTTGACATGTGGTACCATAAGTTGTGGACTGACATCAAGGTAATTAAGCAGACTAATTGTGAAGTTAATAGGTTTGAAATCTAGAAGAATATTGATTTACTGGGTCTTCTTTGACCTTAGTTTTTGTACCTAAGGCTGTTGTTCTCATCTCAGCTACTTTCCAAATTGCTTTCAATGATAATCTAAATGTGGTTGTTTGTAAGCATTGATGATTTCTGAGCCAAATTTCTTTTTCCTTTAAAAACTTATTACAGCACTAAATCTCTAGACTTTTCTTTCAGTTTCATTCAATAAAAGTTGTGCAGGTGTTTACTGCTATCTTTTAACAGGCTTATGTTTCAATGCTGTGTTTTTCAGGTCATATCATGGTGATCCTGTTCTGAATCCTCTTACGCCTTGGGATAGACCACCAATAAAAAATGTTTTCTGTATCTATGGGATAGATTTAAAGACTGAGGTAATATCATATTCTCCATGTTAATATCATAGCCATATTGTTTGTGATTGTATTGCAAATACTATGAGAATCTGTTCTCTTCTATGGTGATTTCTTAATGAATCATTAGTTTTGACTGACAGATGATGAACTTGGAAAGAACTTGGTTTATTGGGTTACTATTATCTTAATGTTCTTTACCAATGCGAAAAACATGTTGCGGCAAAATTTTTTCCTTTCGATTAGTGATTAGAAAAATGCTGCACAGCATCACTTCACTTAAATTTTAAGGTTACATCTGTGTTTGTTTATGATAATTGTAATGTGGTAATGGAAAGGGCAGGTTGGTTACTATGTTGCACCAAGTGGCAAGCCTTACCCTGATAACTGGATCATAACAGATATCATATATGAAATCGAAGGATCACTCTTCTCAAGGTAAGTGTCATCCATAGAAGATCAGATTTTTTATTAACAACCTAGATGCACAATATGATATGTACCAAAAATCTACTTTTACATGAATTGAAGTGCTCTCTTCATACTCAATTTTGTTGTATTGATCCCCTTTCATTCTTGATGCTTAGCACACTTTAGCAGTTTATTGATGTCATGGATAGGTCTTTTATCAGTAGCCTCATTTCACATCTCCCTTTTCCAGAATGCACCTTCAACTCACTCAAACCCAATACACTCACATGAAAGTCAATTGTTCAATAATTTAATAATCTGCTTTTTCCCTTTTTTTTTTTATAGGCACATATAGTAGTATTTATTCTAGTAATATTTATTGATTATATGTTAAGCAAAGCTGCTCAAGTTGTTTTTAGTATTTCTCAAAATGATTCATTCTCATTATTTTTCTATATTTTGAGCATGTCTTTGCTCCATTCTTGTAGATCGGGGACCCAAGTTGAAGGGAATCCTGGATTTGCTAGTGGAGATGAAACAGTAAGCTCATAAATACTACTTGAAGTTCTGTCTTAATCATGGCATGCGTCACCTGTATCTCTGCTTCTATAAAGCTTATAGAATAGGTTATTGCTTCTATGTTTCAGTTTACAGTAGAAAATTTCTGGCATGGCACTCAGCCATATATAATTTAGGCATTTCTTAACAGGTACCATATCATTCTCTCTCTTGGTGCAAGAGCTGGCTTGGATCAAAAGTGAACATAACAAGGACTCCACAGGTATAATCAACCCACTCAGTACTCAGTGCAGTAAATATTTTTTTTTAAATATTCTTTTGATAATAACTTGGACCTTTTAACTGGATCAATAAGGTAGTTTCCTAGTTTAATTTGAAGTCTAATTAAAATCTAATCAACCTATTGTAAATAAAGAAAAGTCAGTGCAGCCAAAAAAATCCAACCTACTCTATTCTACCATAATAGAGCCATTTATATGACATCTGATGCTGTTTGTCTAGGGCCTGTTTAGTCCTTTTGCTTATAAAGAAAAAAGACCAACCATCCAATGTGACTTTTTTGGCCAAGCAATTTGATTATACATATCAGAGTTTTTATTCTTCAACTGAAAAACAACTTGTTTTGTGAGTGCAATATTTAGTTTTTCTCCTTAGCATTGCAGTCAGAGCATGATGGATCTGATGTTCAAGAGGAGTTGAATGTAGAGCATTATCATGAAGATGATATAGTTCCCAACATGACAAGGTCACCTAGAATCAAGTACATAACATATTATGAAGATGCTGAAAGCATTCCAGGAAAGAGGACTGCTGTGTGGGAGCTTGATAAGGGTGAGTGACATGTCATTTAATGCCCATTAATTGAAGCATGGTTTCCCAAAGAAACTATGACTTTGACTTTGTAATATGTCCAACTAAATTCCATTGACTATGGTGGTGTTGTGGAATCTGAAATTCTTGTTGTCTATCTAATTGTAGATAGCAGTTCCCATTGACACTTCTGTTTTTCTTTTAACTGTTGTACTTTTGGCTTTAGTACGGTAATTTGTGAACTCTACTATTGCAATCCTGGAATACCTGGCTCTGCTTATTCCCATCTCTTAGGAAGAAACTAGAAAACATGAATATTGAGGATCTTAGTTCTAGATTTGAAGGCTTTTCCTTCATTCACAGTATGCATATGGAGATAGGCTTTATATTATCCTTTGAAAATTTGGTTAAGAATTTTTTTCTTTGTTTCCACTATCTCTTTTACAAGCAAATTAAGTTAATATCATGTTAAATCAAATCCCTTGTTTTTGCTTTGCTTAGGATTGCAGGACTGATTTCTTATCAGTAAAGGAAAAATATTAAACAGATATTCTCCTCATGTAGTGAATCACAGGAACATTGTTAAATCACCAGTTCTAATGCGGGAGTTGTGGCTTCAGATGTGGCATGATATTCATCCTTACGCAAAATCAAAATTTGTTACAAAAGGTGAATCTTGATTTAAACTCTTGTTTCTAAAGGTTATGTTGAGTTCTGCTGACAACTTAAAGTGTCAATAGCTAAGCGTGGGCCCTTGAGAGATGAGGACTGCTATTGGGATTATGGGAAGGCTCGGTGTGCATGGCCTGAATACTGTGAATATAGGTTTCTTTTTAAAATTATTTTTTCTTCTTTCTGTCTCCAATGCTTCTTATGTTATTCCCTGCCATATGTCGTCCTTATTTGATCATGGCAATGCAGATATATCTTTGGGGATGTTCATTTGGGACAGAGCTGTAGGTTAAGGAATTCTTCAGCTGACCTGCTCTTGCATTATGCATAGTGTAGAAGGTACCTGATGTCTTTTTTCTCTTGTTATCCAACCAATCCTAAAGTTTAAAACCCCTTTATGAATTTCAAAATGAGATGAGATATTTCTCCAATTTCGCATCCAGTATCATTTTTCCTCCAAAATAGTTGGTTTTTACTGTCTTGTGATGTTTTTCTTGAGGAAAATCTGAAACTACTCGACCAAATGTGGATGAACTTGAAAGCTTGAAAGTTGATAGCTGTTTGTCTTCTTTGGTTCACTACTTTGACTCGGTATCATAATTCAAAAATATGACAGTTCTGATTATTGATTGGTCATTATTCTATTACTTTGTTCTTTGGAAACTAATCTTTCAATTTTGTTATCTCAGGTACCCAACAAGTTTTGGCTGCATAAAACATTCCATAGTTTTGTACCATATGCAAATCAGGAGATTTAGTTACAGTCTAGCCAATTGATTGTTGCTGCCCACTCATTCTTTGTTTATCATGCAAAGCTTCTTCCTTTGGATCTCTCTCTTCCAAATTGCAGAGCGAAACCAGGCCAGAAAGATTTCAACTTTTTTCTTGCAGTTTCCGCAACACAACCCATTTATAGCATCTCTTTTCTCTGGCAGCATCGCATATACACCATGGTCCTGAAACCATTGGTGAACAAGTAGAGATTTGTTCTTGCATTGGCTAACATGGTTTGGATTTTAGACCGATGAAAGTATATTAGTATTGGTTGGACGAGTGGCACCTCAAACCGAGATGTGCATGCAGTTGCATGATAGTCTTCGTCGCCAATTGATAAATGAATGAGCTGTATTAGCACCGACCCTTCGTTACAGAGATTAATACAATGTTCCTTTCTTTGTATGCGATCTTCTATACTTGTCGATGACTTGATATGAGTTGAGTAGTAATGGCAGTTGACTGTCATCTCCTGAATCAATCCTAACACACCACACAAGAACAGTTCCCTTCAGATTATAGAACAATTTAACCGCAATCTTCACGTTTTGCGTTCGTTATAGGCTCCAAGAGTCATTGGCACTTGGCTGAGCAGTCATGTTACCCAAGATATAATCCAGCCATTTGGAAGAGGATGCCTCAAGAGAAAAAATCCAGAGGAAAAGATAACATTGTCCCATGGTCACACAACATCAATTGAAATGATGTCCATATTTCACAAACAATATGTGGTTCCATAAAAACAAAAAACAAAAAACAAAAAAAAAAAGGGGCGGGAGGGTGGCGTGGGGGGGTGAGATTAAAAGGACTCAGGAAATCTGGCTAGCTGTTCTTCTTAATTTCGAAGGAGTATTTGAGCTCCATATGGCATCTTCTGTCATCATCTTCAAACTGCATTAGAAACGGAAGGAATCAACGATGAAAAATGAGCATTGAGCTGGAAACAATCTATGGGATATGGTTCAAATGCTTCAATCAAATATAATTATTTGAGATTGTACATGAGCAAAAGACTTCGGTGATTTAAACAAACTTGCAACATCTTTGAATCAAAGTGGTGATTAACCAAAAGCGTGTTTGTGTTTTAGACATGTTTTTGTGCATTAAACTTCACCTTAAGAATTGCCGAGTAAATTCCTCTTGCAAGGACACCAGAGGGTGTTGTCTCCTCATCCAAAGTGTGCACGTATGGTTCCCTCTGAGGAGCAAAAGTACCCAACATTCCTTTGCTTTGATCAACTGAAAAGAAGACAAAATGAAAAACTTATAGCCAAATAGCAGTTCAATTAAACAAGATTTATGGGAGGTTAATAAATAAAATGGTCAGCCTCAATAATCTAACATAATGAGAGAGGAAAAAATAATAAGATGGTTTAATAATTGCATGAGCATCACACTACAACACACAGCCCTATGCTTTTGATTAGAACATAAAAGAGCTTACAACTGGATTTTTTCTCTTGAATACGAAAAATTGGATCTGGCCTTCTTGGAATGTAACATTACAACACTTCTTATGTAACTTCGAATGTAAAAACTGCTTTAGTAGAGTTGAAACTGCATATGCCATTTAAAAACAGCAGCTGAAAATCCTAGACAAAGGCTTGCATGATATTTTTCCTTCCCAAATTCTAGGCATAAGTTCCTGTAAGAGTTAAGATCATGCATAGGGTATTCTGTTAAATTTTCGACTGCAGATACTCAATGATACCCAGAAAGTCTGTATAGAGTAGCATCAATCTTTGATTGTTTTTTAGTACATTGCAAAAGGTCAATATTGGACATCCATCTTATATCAACTAAGGCAAATGTCGCAAATCTTCTCTTTTACCATCAGAATTTGTAGCCATATATTGGTTTTAAACCAATGGAACATTCTGATTTGCGAAAGGAAAAGGTAGAAAAGAAAGGGTGGAATGTGGAATCAACAACAGGACAGCTTTTAATTGCTTCCTCTTTTGAATACAACTATAGACTATTAGTGACTTATGAAGTTCCAGTAACATATGGAGCATATTCTATTGGCCGAATACAAGTCATAGTTTTGACTTCATCAAAATCACACTATAGCCCTATGTTTGTCTATAATCCTATATTTCAATGTTTAACCAAAAAGGCAGGCAGGATCCTACAAGAAAACATAAAAAATAAAAAATAAAAACTGCTTCGCTTATTCCTTCAGCAACATAAATAATAAACCTAAAAAGTGGAAACTGTGACAAAGATTCCGCACCTTGGAGTCCAGCCTTCCACACAGTATTGGAGTAGCTTAGGCCAGAAACGATGTTATGCAGAACACTAAATGTTAACTTAAGGCGATATTGAGATCCCTCCTTTAAAGTAAACAGAACACGGCCACTCTGATTTGCATCAACAGGCAAGGGAGTATCAATTTCCCCTAATTCATCAGAAATAATTCCTATAGAGTGGAATTTGACTTCAGGCTCCATTTGCTCTAAAAACACAGAATACAACAACTAAGCATAAATTCAAATTTAGATATGGAACATGACAAAAAAGACTACATAAAGAGGGGACGAGTCACCATTTAAATCTCCTTCAAGACTCCCAAGAAGCTGCTCTTTCCACCTTCTTAAACTCTCATCATCCTGCAAGAACATAAATTGCCAACATCAATTAGGATATATGGCTTCCCAAATAGATAGCTAGCAATAAGGATATCAGAGATTCAGAGTGAACAGACAAAATTTTTCCTTAGGCATTTCAGAGAAGGAGATCAAAATCTCAACCATCAAATATAAAATCCAAATGCAGAAAGCCAGAAACACCCAACAAGAGCCAAAAGGAGGTTGAAGAAAAGTTATGAAATCCCTAATTTGTGCAGAACCTAAAACCCATCAAGCAACACAACCCAAATTCCAACAAACTTTAAGAAATGAAAGCAATCTTTGAATATAAAACAGAAAGGAGGCAAAAACCTTGTCTTTCTCAATCTGTTCCTTGAGAGAAACAAGAGGTCCAGGGACAAAACCAGCAACAAGCCCTCCATCTTCCTTTTCATCATCATCTTCTTCATCTTCTTCTTCATGATCAGCACACACTTCACTAGAGGGTTTCTCATTCATTTCCTTCTGTCTCTCTTGCTTCTCGCCGCCGCCGACGCCACCACCACCACCACCGACGACGGTTGATGGCCCTGCTTCTGCTCTCTTGCCACTCTCCATCTCTATCTTTAGAGACTAAAAGAGGAGGATAATGAATTCAAAAGGGTTGAAATACAACGGATGACAAGCAGGATTCAGGAATACGTACAGTAGAGACTAGAGATGAAATGGTGAGGGAGAAACGTCTCTTTCAGTGTGGAACAGACACTGTGTGAATGTCTCAGTGCCTGAGTCTGAATTTGTTTCTTTGTCTTTCTCTTGGGTCTTTAATGTCGGCGTCACAGTGGACACCACTGCTGGGTCAGGCACTGCATAAACAAATTAGGGGGAGGTTTCGTTGAGGGAAACTTTTTCCCATGGTTGGCTAGGTTATCACTTTGGTTTAATTTGATAATGCTAACTTATAAATTCTTTTCTTGCTCTTTAATATTTTAAAAATATATTTCATATATTTCAAATATTTAAAATTTATTTTAATTAACATGTTATATGTTTTTAAAATAATAAAAAAATAATAATCAAAAGGTAAAGTATTAAGAAATATTGTTACACAAACCCTTCACAAGTAAAGTTTTTATTGAAAAAGTATAGTATGTAAAGTTAAAAAATATTCTATTAAAAATTAAGTTTTGTAATGAAGTTTGGTTAAATTTTATTGGATTATTAATTTTGTTGCGTTTAGTAAAAAATTGATATAAAAAAAGTTATTAAGAAAAGTTATAAAGAAACTTTGTTCATTCAAAATATGTGAAAAGAACACTTTATGGATTGAAAATTATATCAAGAAAAATAAATTGTTAAAATTCACTCTTACCCTCGTTTTGTTATAGCATTAATGTATAAAAATACATACACAACCTTGTAAAGAATAAAGTTTAAAAGGAAAAACTTCCCCCAACCAAACACCTTCTAAAATTTTTTAGACTTTCTACTTATAAAATTATTTTTTGGTTTTTACATATTAATATTATAATAAAAAAAAGACAAAAATGGTACCTTTAACCTTTATTTTCCTTGATTCAAAATCCAACTGATAAATTTTTCTTCCTTCACCTTTTGAAGGGAAAAATACAGATAACTCACTTGACAGTTTTCCTACAAATTTTTCCTATATAAATTTTTTATCAAATATCAAAAAAAAAAGAGAAAAATTAACAACCCAACAAAACTTTATTGAAAAATTTATCAACTTTATGTACCAAAAAACTTATCAACTTTTCGTATAGTGTTCATCAACTTTCCCGCAATAATTTTCTATAACCACCTTTTCAATAAAAATTTTCTAATAAAATTAGCCTTCGAATCAAATAAGATAATTATAATTTTTGGTTTTTAATTTTAAATTTTATAAGTTTTATAAGAGTTTCCCATTTTAACATTAGTGCTATATTGAACTCCCATATAAGAGTTTCCTATTATCTCATATAGAACTTACTTTCACCCAATAATAAATATTGAGTAGTTTGATGAAATTTAGATTACATAATACTTTTTTATTTTATAATTACTAAATGTTAAAGTTAGAAATAAAAAAACTAACAATAATGTTGACCATAAAAAATATGAACTTATTTAATAAAATTAAAATTAAAATTATTTTTATTTCTCTAATAGTCATAATAATATATTGAAAAAAACATAAAATTAAACTCATTTTTTATTTAGAATTGCAAATTTTATAAAGCTTAAACCCAAAATAAAGATCACAATAATGCTGAACAAGGCCTAAATAATGATGTTAGCTTACTTTAATCCAACTATGAAAATGAAAATACAAAAACACCGTAGTTAATAAAGATAAAAAAGATCATTTAAGGAAAAAAAAGTATTTGAATTCTTTCACATTTTGATTTATACGCTTTTTGTGTAGTGTCAATTTTTTATTTTGATTTTTTCAAAAAGTGAGAGAAACTCAGCCAATCAATGGCCAAGTGTAGCTAGCATTCTTCCTTTGAAAATTTATCTCTTTCATGGTAATAATAATATGTTGTTTTTGTGAAATTTTTTAAAATTAATAAAATATTGACATTCATTATAAATTATAATTAAGTTTTCAATGTCTTTAGTTTGGTGGAAAGAAAGAGCAAGGGAGGGAAATGAAGGATTTATTGGATATTATCTTTTGACTTGGGATTTGTTAAGAGGCTTCCTCAAGTCATACGGAGGATCATGAAGATCCTTTTGTAATAAAACAAAAGATCCAATCGGAGGGACACATTGGATATTATCTTTTGGCTATTTTAAGTGATGAGAAAAAACTTAGTGTAGGATTTGATACAAACTCTTAATAAGCTTTGCTTTTCCCTATTTAAGCTTTGTATTCTCTCTTTGATACTTTCAATGAAATTTGCTATCTTTCTCATCCAAAAAATATATGATTGTTAGATTTTGCAAATAAACGGGTTGAGTCAGGTTTGGGTTGGGTCAACTCAGGTGACAGGTTATACGAGTTGAGTCGTAAACGGGTTGCAGATTAAAAAAGTATAACCCTAACCCTAACCCGACCCTAACGGGTTACAGGTCAACCCACGGGTTAACTTTATTTTTATTTTTTATAATTATTTTTATTAGTTTTATTATATACGAATAAAATTATATATATATTTAAAACTAATTAAAGTATCGTAATTCATTAATACTAAGCACTTTATTGTCTCCATTACAAATAGTTAAATTAAGAAAAAATCATAAAGTTATAAATAACAGTAAGTTGATTAATAATATTAAACTTAAAATATTTAAATTTCTTGAAAAATAAAGTTTTAATTTTACAATCATCTTGAAATATTATCAAGGAGTTTAAGCTCTTTTTTTAATGATGAAATTGCTCTTCCAAGAACATCTTTCACTAAATTATTATGTTTATATTCAAACATCACAGCTTTAATATTTTTAGTTGTATTATTATTAATTCATGATACTTGATAATTAGATCAAACCCACATAATTTCTAGAGAAAAAAGAAAAAATAATGATGAATAAACACTCAAAATAAGTTCAAAACCATTTGAGTAATGGAAATGAGGTTGAAGAGTATGAATAAAAGGAGAGAGTTATCAATAGAAAAATTAATTAAGAATAATAAGTATAGCATTTTTAAAAAGAATAATAATAAATAAAGTAAACGGGTCAACTTGTCAACTTGGAGCTTGACCCTAACCCGAGCTGTGACCCGTACGGGTTGATATTACAGATTATCTACGAGTTACCAGTTAGTATATGTAGACCCTAACCCATAATTATGGGTTGTGTTAAGGTTGGGTTGATGGGTCGAGTAAATTTTTACCACCTCTAATAATTGTTAAAAAAATACGAAGTTCAAAGTTAAACTTCATAAAGTGTTACGTGGTTAAAAGCACAAAATTTCTCTAAAATGATAATTAAGGTTGCCTCTTTTAATTGCAAGTACCTTAAATTTTGTGCAATGCTTGTCATGATCTACCAAGTGTGTTCCTTCAAAAGGATTGTTTTGAAATTTCTTGCAAACACTTTCCACCACGCCAGCACCGAAAAGAATTATAATTTATGAAAGAGTTTATAGCTTCTATAAAAAAAAAAAAAAAGAATTAATACATGTCAATTTCATAGATAAAGATGTTGAGTTGAACTTATTCATTATTTTATCTTAAAGACTAAAGGATACCCCAAGCAAAGTAGATGAAAGGTGCAAAAGAGTTAGCAAAACATGTGAAAACTATGAAAGCATGCTAGCCATAATATTATATGTCTAATAATATTATATGTCTAAATAATAAGAATGAAAATTTGCTAAATGGTGCTTAAAAGTAGGGAAAAAAATTATTTCAGAGGAAAGAAATTTAAAATCCTATTTTTTTTTCTTTTAAAATTTATCATCAATTTTAGTTTTGTTACGAGCACTATTTCTTTTTACATAAATTCTAAGTACCTAGACCATTGTAAAAGTGCTTGTTTTGATCAAATGATTGATGAGATGACTTAAATCCTATTTTTATTTTTGAAATATGATATGCTTTTGTACTTTCACTCTTTGCATTATTTCTCCTTGTAGTGTGTTTTTTATGCTTTTTACAACTTCCTATCACATATGTACTAATAGAAATTATAATGTGTAGAAGAGTTTATAGTTTTTATTGAAGAGGAGTCAGTGCATGTCAATCCTATATAAATAAAGATGTTGATTTTATTCATTGTCCTCTAATCTCAAAAACTAAAGGACATCCAAAGAAAAAATGGATGAAAGGTAGAAAAGAGTTGCAAAATAGGTGAAAAACTATGTAAATATGTTAGTTATAATATCACATGTCCAGATAAAGAGAATAAACACATGTGGAAAAGTTTTCAAGAGTGGAAAACAATTATTTCATAGGAAGGAGACTTAGAATCTTTTTTTAATTTTTTTTTTTGTTGTTTTTGCTTTGAAGTATATCATCAACGTTGAGTTTTTTTTGTTACTATTAATACAATATTTTTTACAAAAGTTTTTATTACCGAAACCATTGAAAACATGTTTGTTTTGATAGAATTATTAGTAAGATAACTTGAATCTTATTTTTTACTTCTAAAATATGATAAGTTTTTGTATCTTTACTCTTTGTTTTCTTCTTGGTATTGTGTTTTATAGACTTTGTATTACTATATTTTTTAACTAACTAATATTTACAACCTAAAAGGTAAAAGGAAGTGAAAATCAGGACAAAAATTAAGTTATTAAATTTAGATTATGATATCATTCCAAATTTAATTATCACATTTTTACATGACACACAATTAAAGAAAAATTTATTAGAAAGCTAAAAAACACAATAACTAGAGCTTTAAATCTTATGTTTAGTAAATATTTTTAACATTTAAAAAGCCTTTTTCTTGTCCTTCAAAATTCAAAAAGCCTTAGGCTAAAATAAAAAAAAAAAACCTTTTATTATGGGTAAACTTAAGACATAATATTTAATATGTTTACAAAAAAAAAAAAAGTGTAATAACTAGATTTGAACATTTCTATTGGTAAGTGTGATAAACAGATTGGGGTTACATAATCTATAAATTTAAGAAAGAAAAGGAATTCGCATAAGTAGGAGAAGTTTAGTTAAATTGCTATTAGAAGTAATTTAATCGCGTAAAAAACTAAAAAATTCCTTAATTAAAACCCTAATTGATTTCTTATAATAATAATAATAATAATAACTTTAAGAGTTGGATTCATTAGATAATTTTCTATTCTATATTAATTTCTTAATCTATAG